TGATATGATCCTTAACGAGCCTCTCACTTCTGTCATCATGAAATGCTTTGAGTGCTACGTTGCAATAGTCATTTAGTTCAGTTACCTTTGTTTTCATGGGTACAGGAACAATGGTGGACATCTTGAAGACTGGGATAGGGAGAGATTGAATACGTCCATAAACACTCCAGCCAGCTGGTCTGCGCATGCTCTGAGGACGCGGCTAGGGATGTCGTCTGGGCCGGCAGCTTTGCCACAGAGAATGAGAGCCCATTGTCCTTGGGAGCGGGCCACGTCGGTGGAATTGTGTTATCCTCAAAGCTAGCGAAGATGGTGTTTAGCTTGTCCGGGAGCAAGACGTCGGTGTCCGTGACATGGCTGGTTTTCCCTTTGTAATCCGTGAATGTCTGTAGACCCTGCCACATACATCTCGTGTCTGAGCTGTTGAATTACGACTCCACTTTGTCTCTGTACTGATGTTCTGCCTTTTTGATTGCCTTACGGAGGGAATAACTACACTGTTTGTTTCGACCATATTCCCAGTCACCTTGCCATGGTTAAATGCGGTGGTTCGCGCTTTCAGTTTTGCGCGAATGCTGCCATCTATCCACGGTTTCTGGTTTGGGTAGGTTTTAATAGTCACAGTGGAAAAACATTCCCTATACACTTCCTGATGAACTCAGTCACCGTGTCCGTGTATATGTCAATGTTATTCTCAGAGGCTACCCGAAACATATCCCAGTCCGCGTGATCAAAACAATCTTGAAGCATGGATTCCGATTGGTCAGACCAGCGTTGAATAGACCTTAGCACGGGTACTTCCTGTTTGAGTTTCTGCCTATAGGAAGAGAGGAGCAAAATGGAGTCGTGATCTGATTTGCCGAAGGGAGGGCAGGGGAGGGCCTTGTAGAAATGTCAAAAGTGGGAGTAGCAGTGGTCTAGTGTTTTTCCTAAGCGAGTACTACAGTCAATGTGTTGATAGAACTTCGGTAGCGTTTTCCTCAAATGTGCTTTGTTAAAATCCACAGCTACAATAAATGCGGCCTCAGGATATGTGGTTTCAGGTTGGCATAAAGTCCAGTGTAATTCCTTGAGGGCCGTTGTGGTATCGGCTTGAGGGGGAATATACACGGCTGTGACAATAACCGAAGAGAATTCTCTTGGGAGGTAATACGGTCGGCATTTGATTGTGAGGTCAGGTGATCAAAAGGACTTGAGTTTCTGTATGTTATCACAATCACACCATGAGTAGTTAATCATGAAACATACACCACTGCCCTTCTTCTTCCCTGAGAGTTATTTATTGCTGTCTGTGCGATGTACTATGTACAGTATATCCGGAGAGAGCCATGATTCCGTGAAACAGAGTATGTTACAGTCCCTGATGTCTCTCTGGAAGGAGATCCTCACCCTGAGCTCGTCTACTTTATTGTCCAGAGACTGAACATTAGCGAGTAATATACTCAGAAGCGGTGGATGGCTTGCACTCCTCCTGAGTCGGACTAGAAGTCCACTCCGAATACCTCTTCTCCGCCGGCGGCGTCTTGGCGCAGCCTCTTTGATAAGTTTAATTGCCCTGGGGGGTACGAACAAAGGATCCAATTCGGGAAAGTCGTATTCCTGGTAGTAATGCTGGTTAGATACCGCCACTCTGATATCCAAAAGTTATTTCCGTCTGAATGGAATAACACAAAAAAACATTCTGGGCTAATAACGTAAGAAATAACACACATAAAAACAAAAGTTGCTTAGGAGCTAAAAGCAGAGCTGCCATGTCTGTCGGCGCCATCTTGCCACCAACAGGATTTGTTATTCAAGTTAATTTATATGAATCTACAACTGGAAAGTGGTTTCTATCTACCAGTGTTGAAGGATTCAACCCTACTATATAGTATAACAATTTCTCGACATATATAGTATAACAATTTCTCGACAAAGTGTATTCTAGACAACGAAGAACATTCCTTTAGATTAAGTATTGTTGATGTCCACAATCTCTGTAAGTGCATGGTTAAGGCGTATCTAACAATACTGGTACTAAATACATCTAATGAGTTTAAGTATGCCTAACCCCTTATATGGAATACACTTAAGATGTTTATTAACTTAAATCACAGCTACAGACGGTAACATCGGTTTTGATATTCAGTTCTCTATTTGCACTCAGGCATTGGTTTATTAATTATTTTCATAGGATAGTGTAGTCTATTTTCCTATGTTGAATATACTACTTGAGTCGATGTACTGCTCTGCTATTCATTTACATCGGTGCCTTCTTGTTGTTGTTGCTGGTTTGAAGTTGAAATTGTAGGTAATAGCTCCCTCTGTTTTATGTGGGAATATGACTACTTGTATGCGCTTCATGAAATCAATTATCCTTTCAATTGAAGTCAATGGCGCCATCTTGTGAAAACGGATGATTCCATAGCATTAAACTTTGTCCTAAATATGATTGATGAGGAAAACAATTAATTTAATCCATTGTAGAATAAGGCAGTAACGTAACAAAATGTGGAAAAAGGGAAGGGGCCTGAATACTTTCCGAAAGCACTGTAGAAAGTGCCTATAGAAAGTCTACACATTTTATTGTATTACAAAATGGGATTAAAATTGATTTGTCATTTTTTGTCAACGAAATATTCATTTTTTGTCTACACAAAATACTATATCATGTCAAAGTGGAAGAAAAATTCTAACATTTTTTAAAAGATTAATAAAAAAATAACACATTAATATACCTTGATTAGAGAAGTATTCCCCCGAGTCAATACATGTTAGAAACACCTTTGGCAGCGATTACAGCTGTCTTATTTGGTAAGTCTCATAAGAGCTTTGCACACCTGTATTGTGCAATATTTGCCCATTATTCTCTTCAAAATTCTTCAAGCTCTGTCAAGGTGTTGGGGATCATGGCTTGACAGCAATTTTCAAGTCTTGCCATAGATTTCCAAGCAGACTTAAGTAAAAACTATAACTTGAACACAGGAAGATTCACTGTCTTCTTGGGAAGCAACTCCAATGTAGATTTAGCTTTGTGTTGTAGGTTTTTGTCCTGCTGAAAGGTGAATTCCTCTCCCAGTGTCTGGTGTAAAGCAGACTGAAGCAGGTTTTCCTCTAGGATTTTGCCCGTCTTTAGCTCCATCCATTTTCTTTTCATCCTGAAAAACTCCCCAGTCTTTGCCGATGTCAGCCATGATGCAGCCACCACCATGCTTGAAAATAAGGAGGCAGTTACTCAGTGATGTGTTGGATTTGCCCCAAACATAAGGCTTTGCATTTAGGCCAAAAAGTACACTCCTTTGCCTTGTTATTTTTTTTGCAGTATTACTTTAATGCCTTGTTGCATACATATGCATGTTGTGGTATATTTTTGTTATTTAGGCAGGGTATGTTACTTTCTAAATGTAATCCATTACAGTTACCTGACCAAAATTGTAATCAGTAACATGACATTTGGATGACCCAAACTCAGTAACGTAATCTGATTACTTTGTTACTTTTAGATTACTTTCCCCCTTAAGAGTAACAAAAAAAAGGATCCATCAAACAATTGTGTCGTCAGTGGTCTCTGATTTATGGTCAGACTCACGCAAGCAGAAAAAAAATAAACTTCCAAATTTTTTCAATGCTGATCTGAATGTCATTGAGAAAACAGAAAGGTGGCATAATGCATTTTTCGCAAACATCCTTTCTAAATTTATAAGCAATTCAGTTTTTCCAAAAGTATCTGTAATCTGATTACATTATTTTGCTGGTAACGTAACTGATTAGTCAGTTTTTTGTAATCAGATTACACGTAATCAGTTACTCCCCAACCCTGCATTTAGGTCATTATTGTGGAGTCACTACAATGTTGTTGATCCATCCTCAGTTCTCCCATCACAGCCATTGAACTCTGTAGCCGTTTTGAAATCGTGGTTACACCCCAAAGCAGCTCAGTTCAGAAGGACTGCATCTCTGTGGTTTAAAACATCATCCACAGCATTATTAACTTGCCCATGCTTAAAGATATATTCAATGTCTGATTGGTTATTGTTACCCATCTACCAAATCACTACCCTTCTTTACGAGGCTTTCAAAAAGCTCCCTGGCCTTTGTAGTTAAATCTGTGCTTGAAATTCAATACTTGACTGAGGGACCTCAGATGTTGAATGTATGGGACAAAGGAATGGGGAATTTTTTTTTTTTTTAATCATGTGAACCCCTATTATTTCAAAGTCCACAAACAATTGTGATTTGTTAAGCCAAATTTAAATGTCAACTAGTTTAGGCTACCCTAAACAAAGGAGGTGAATACTTGTGTAATGACTTTTTTTTATTTAAATTTGTAAACATTTGTAGAATTCCCTTTGCACTTTGACAGAGTACTGTGTAGATCAATGACAACAATTACAATTAAATCTATTTCAATCCCACTTCGTAACACAAAATGTGAAAAAGTTCAAGGGGGGCGTAGACATTCTATGGGCACCATACATCCTGATGGAGTTCCCTGTTTAATCACAGATTATGCACTTATGTGAAGTCAGTCTTGTAGATTTAGAACCTAGTGCCAAATCAAAAATGACCCCAAAGTCTTTCTCTAACCAAAGGCTGTTGCAAATCCATACAGGAGTTGCTTGTTGCACATTTTACACCAGTCATTTTAGCGTGGCATCTCCATTCTCACATGACCTAGGAAAGTCCCAAACAGGTTACACTTTACTACTTGAGATCATAACATTACCATCTGAACTGAGGAAAATATTTCAGGGAGAAAACAAATGCAGAATTTGCATTTAATTCTCTAGTATCAACCCAAAAATAAAAAGTCTTTATCCATGTACAAACATCTCATCACTCCATCTAGCGAGATTGATCAAACAAGCACAAAGTAAATAGATTAATCTCGTAAAGCTGCAGGTGGGTGGGGGTGGGTCGACCAGAACCAAAGGCATGCCGTTATTATTTTCAGCATGATCGTCAGCACGCTTGCAAGGGATTTATGTTCCATGACGGTGGAGGTTTGTTAAGTTTTGTTTTTAGATGGCGTCGATGTCAAAGTCATCCTCTTCCTCTGCAGGCTTCTCAGTCTCCACTTTCAGCTCACGGGCAGAGGCTGAGTAGACCACCTGGGAGGAAAGAAGGGGGGGGGGGGTAAGGGAAATGTTAATTGGGTGAAATTAAGACACTGCAGTGTCACTCATTTCTCACCAGGCGCTTCAGTAGGATGCATAAGTAACATAAATAAATAGTGTTGAACAGACATGGTGCTTTGTCATGCAGAAAAGGGGAATCGTGTCAGCTCACACATTTCTACAATTTACATTTTAGTCATTTAGCAGACGCTCTTATCCAGAGCGACATACAGTTAGTGAGTGCATACATTTTCATACTGGTACAATGCCTTCAGAAAGTATTCATACCTCGACTTACTCCACCTTTTGTTGTGTTACAGCCTGAATTCGAAATTGATTAAATGACTAATAGGAAAAATAAAATAAAAACGATTAAAAAAAGAAATACAGAAATCTATTCTGTACACCCGAGTCAATACTTTGTAGATGCACCTTTGGCAGCGATTACAGCTATGAGTCATTCTGAGTCTGAGCTTTCCACACCTGGATTGGGAAACATTTGCCCATTATTCTCTTCAAAATTCTTCAAGCTCTGCCAAATTGGTTGTTGATCATTGCTGGACAGCCATTTTCAAGTCCTGCCCTACATTTTCAAGCAGATTTAAGTCAAAACTAACTCGGCCACTCAGAAACATTCACTGTATTCTTGGTAAGCACCTCTAGTATAGATTTGGCCTTGTGTTTTAGGTTATTGTCCTGCTGAAAGGTGAACTCATCTCCCAGTGTCTGGTGGAAAGCAAACAAGTTCTCCTCTAGGATTTCCCATATCCATAACATGATGCAGTCACTCCTATGCTTGAAAATATGGAGTGGTACTCAGCAGTGTGTTTTATTGGATTTGACCCAAACACTGTTTCAGCTCAAAAAGTTAATTGCTTTGCCAATATAATTTTTTCCAGTATTACTTGAGTGCCTTTTTGCAAACAGGATGCATGTTTAGGATTTTTTTTATTCTGTACAGGCTTCCTTCTTTTCACTGTCAATTAGGTTAGTATTGTGGAGTAACTATAATAATAATAATAATAATAATAATAATAAGCCATTTAGCAGATGCTTTTATCCAAAGCGACTTACAGTCATGTGTGCATACATTTTTACGTATGGGTGGTCCCGGGGATCGAACCCACTACCCTGGCGTTACAAGCGCCATGCTCTACCAATTGAGCTACAGAGGACCACCCAACAATGTTGTTGATCCATCCTCAGATCTCTCCGATCACAGCCATTAAACTATGTAATTATTTTAAAGTAATCATTGGCCTCATGGTGAAATCCTTGAGTGGTTTCCTTCCTCTCCGGCAACTGAATTAGGAAGGACGCCTGTATCTTTGTAGTGACTGGGTGTATTGATACACCACACAAAGTGTAATTAATAACTTCACCATGCTCAAAGTTATTTAATGTCTGCGGTTTTAAATTTTTACCCATCTACTAATAGATGCCCTTAACACTATTATTGCACGCAGGGTGAGTCCATGCAACTTATGTAACTTGTTATGCACATTTTTGCTTCTGGACTTTAGGAACGCCATAACAAAGGGGTTGAATACTTGAGACATTCAAGCTTTTCATTTTTTATTAAATTTGTAAAATGTCAAAAAACATTATTCCAAATTGACATTACGGGGTATTGTGTGTAGGCCAGTGACAGAAAATCTACATTTAATCCATTTTAAATTAAGGCTGTAACAAAACAAACATTTTGAAAAAGGTCAAGGGGTGTGAATAGTTTTTGAAGGCACTGTATCTGAATAGGTCCATGGTAAGCAGAAACCTGGTGACAGTGGCCATTTTCATGTCAGTGCCACAATACCAAACCTATGTCTATATGCGCGTGACGGGAATGAATGTATATAGGTAAAAATCAGAGTCAGTGATAAGTCATTACCTCCACGTTATCTTCATCTTCCTCCTCATCCGCCCCGCTGCCCTCGCTCTCCTCTTCCGCCTCCTTCAGCCACTTGATGAAGGGCGCTGCCTTGGCATGGATCTCTTTTGCCAGCTCCTTGGACACGTACTTCTTGGACACCTGACAAGACACACACAGGTCTGACGTGTTAGAGGTATGATGAAAAATGACTTGAGTCTCATTTCACAGGTTCTAGTGTAGGTTACGGAGTCTTTTTTCATATGTAAAATATCTTGGATGAGGAGTCTCTTGCAAAATAAATGACACTGACCTGGATAAGTTGAATAAAATAAATATCCCATCATCCCCGTTACCTTCTCAGCCCAGGCCAGGATGACGTCCTCCTCCAGTAGGTCGGCGTCGTACAGGTCTTTGAGGACAAGGGGCACGCGGGGCAGAAGCTCGGACTGGTGCAGCTTCACCAGACACTCAAAGCCCCCCAGCAGGTACTTCTGGGCCTTCTTGTTGTTGTGGGTAAACTGGACACAAGAGAAATGTTTTAAAACGGAAGGTGCGGATGGAGCTTGAGCAAAACCCAACAGCGGAATTATAGCTGTATCTATTGCCACAATCAACTTTGTTGAGGTTATGTCTGTCCAAATTGCTGGTGTTAGACTACTAAGCATATCTCCATCAACTGGTGTAGTGACACTGTTTCATGCCCTATGCGTTATGGAACTCACAGTTCACGAACACCAACTATAGACAACATTAAGCTGATGTCCATCAAATGGCATTAGGGCACTGACCTCATGCCCAACAACTGATGTTACGGCACTGACCGAATGCCAATTTGAGTAACATATCCGATCAAATGCCACACAAGTAGCGTGACAGCACTGACCTAATGCCCAATTTGCATTAACAAGCAGAGGTCCTCTGTTACGCAGTTGGAAGAGCATGGCACTTGCAATGCCAGGATAGTGGGTTCGATTACCGGGACCACCCATTCGTTTAAAAGAAATGCACGACTGACGGTCAGTCGCTTTGGATAAAAGCACTTGCTAAATAGCATGTTATTATATTAACAACTAGTGTAACAGCCCTGACCCTCATACTAGAGAGCTGCAAGACCTGCGGCCCCGGCAGGCGGTCATAGACAACTGAGATTAACATATTTTAGTCCTGCAAATTATTTCAAACGGTTGTCTTTCTTTTGTATGCGTTACCTATTGTATTAAAAGCACCTGTAACACTATTAATAAACTCTCGTATGATAATTCTGCTTCAAGTTCAGTAGCCTCCCTCTACTCTCGTGTTGTGTTGTGTGCATGCGAGATCAAATGTGCCTATGCGTGGTCTCAATTAAATAGCCTGTGTAGGCTATATGAATGGCCGGAGAAGCACGCGCAGTAGTCTTTCCATGGAAAATAAAAGGGATAGATTTTGGCAATTAGCACTTCATCTACTTCCACAGAGGCAGATTAACTCATGGATACCATTTTAAATGTCTGTGTCCAGTATGAAAGAAGATAGAGGAAGTTTTGCGAGCTAGCGTTAGCGCAATGACTACGTCTACGGGTATCTACTAGAATGCTACTCGGAGACTCACTCTGAGGAAGTGACGTTTGTACTTCTTGATCTGTTCGCGGATGTTCTCGTCCATTAAAAGCTCTGTCAGGATCAGTGGGGCCGTGTCCTTCACGTCCAGACGCTCCGCCTCGGCCAGGATCTCCTTGTCCGAAATGTTGACGGCACCGTCCTCCTTCATTTGCTGTCGAGGGAGTGATAGAATAAGCCACCCAGAGACATCACACCCTCACATCTTGATTCAGCTTTCCCCTCACTAATTTTCTTTATTCATCCTTAAAAACAACTGATCATACAGTGCTTTTTTCCACATTTTGTTAGGTTACAGCCTTATTCAAAACATTAAATTGTAAAATGTATAACTGCCTTAATTTCACTGGATCCCAGGAAGAGTAGCTGCTGCCTTGGCAGCAGCTAATGGGGATCCATAATAAATACAAATGTCCAATCAATAGAATTTACCACAGGTGGACTCCAATCAAGTTGAGATGTTTCTACAAGGATGATCAATGGAAACAGGATGCACCTGAGCTCAATTTTGAGTCTCATAGCAAAGGGTCTGAATACTTTCCGAATGCACTGTACACACACACACACACACACCATTATACATATACACATGCATACACAGCGCCTTCGGAAAGTATTCAGACCCCTTGACTTTTTCCACATTTTGTTACGTTACAGCCTTGTTCTAAAAAGGACAGGTTTAGACATTTTGGAAAATGTATTAAAAATAAAAAATATTTTCATAAGTATTCAGACCCTTTGCTATGAGACTCAAAATTGAGCTCAGCTGCATCCTGTTTCCATTGATCATCCTTGAGATGTTTCTACAACTTGATTGGAGTCCACCTGTGGTAAATTATATTGATTGGACATTTGTATTTATTATGGATCCCCATTAGCTGCTGCCAAGGCAGCAGCTACTCTTCCTGGGATCCAGCGAAATTAAGGCAGTTATACATTTTAAAAACATTACAATACATTCATAACAGATTTCACAACCTATTAAGTGTGCCTCCTCAGGCCTCTTCTACCACACATCTATAACACAAAATCGATGTGTACCTGTGTGTATAGTGCGTATGTTATCGTGTGTTTGTATGCATGTCTATATGTGCTTCACAGTCCCTGCTGTTCCATAAGGTGTATTTGTATCGTTTTTTAAAATCCAATTTCACTGCTGGCATCAGTTACTTGATGTGGAATAGAGTTCCATGTAGTCACGGCTCTATGTAGTACTGTGCATCTCCCATAGTCTGTTCCCGACTTGGGGACTGAAGAGACCTTTGGTGGCATGTCTTGTGGGGTATGCATGGGTGTCCGAGCAGTGTGCCAGTAGTTCAAACAGACAGCTCGGTTCATTCAACACCTCTCACAAATACAAGTAGTGATGAAGTCAATCTCTCCTCCACTTTGAGCCGAGAGATTGACATGCATATTATTAATGTTAGCTCTCTGTGTACATCCAAGGGCCAGCCGTGATGCCCTGTTCTGAGCCAATTTCACATTTCTCAAGTCCCTCTGTGGCACCTGACCACACGACTGAACAGTAGTCCAGGTGCGACAAAACTAGGGCCTGTAGGACCTGTGTGGATAGTGCTGTTAAGAATGCAGAGCAGCGCTGATTTGGAAAGACACACACCTGTCTAGATAAGATCCCACAGTTGACAGTGCATGTCAGAGCAAAAACCAAGCCATGAGGTCGAAAGAACTGTCTGTAGAACTCAGAGACAGGATTGTGTCGAGGCACAGACGGACGACACGCCTCAGAAAAAAGGCACGACTGCCAGCTTTGAGTTTGCCGAAAGGCACCTAAAGTACTCTCAGACCATGAGAAACAAGATTCTCTGGTCTGATGAAACCAAGATTGAACTCTTTGGCATGAACGCCAAGCGTCACGTCTGGAGGAAACCTGGCACCATCCCTACGGTGAAGCATAGTGGTGACAGCATCATGCTGTGGGGATGTTTTTCAGCGGCAGGGACTGGGAGACTAGTCAGGATCAAGGGAAAGATGAACGGAGCAAAGTACAGCGAGATCCTTGAACACCTGCTCCAGAGAACTCAGGACCTTAGACTGGGGCGAAGGTACACCTTCCAACAGAGACCTGAAAAAATGTCTAAAAACCTATTTTGGATTCGTCATCATGGGGTATTGTGTGTAGATTGATGAGGGAAACAAACAAATGTAATCAATTTTAGAATAAGGCTGTAATGTAACAAAATGTCTAGGGGTCTGAATATTTGATATATACATTTAAAAACATTTTTCTAGCAGGCACAACCATCCAGAGCAACCAGGGTCAAGCGCCCCAACCAAGGGCACATCAACATATCTCCCACCACGTCAAAATCGGGGACACGAAGCAGCGACCCCCCCCAAGAGCTTCCCCTCAACCAACCAGAGAACCCCCCCCGAAAAACCTCTTCCTCCACGTCTCAATCTAATCGAATCCAAGGATTGCAAGTTTAAGATAAATACTTTTACTAAGAGTATTAGTAATTGACTGACCAGGTCTCGCCAAATCTACCAACATTGCTATTTCTAGGGTCAATTTTAGATTAATGTTACGCTTTTTCAGCCATTCCTGAACCTGAGACTGGAAACAGGCTACCTGAGGGCAATACCAGAACAAATGGTCTATTGATTCTGTATCCTCGCAACAAAATCTGCAGAGCGGCGACGACTGTATGCCCCAAATATTCAACATTTTGTTGGTGGCAAGAAATCAGTACAGTAATTTTAGCTGAAAAGCACGAAGTCTTGAATCTTGCGTCATTGTGTGTTAACTCAAAACACCCTTTGCCATGGAAATCGGTAAATAAAAAAAATATCTTCCCAGCTATTTTATCTGTATGGCACAGCGGTCAACATCCTGGTCCTCAAATTAAAAACGGGTATACTTTCCTATTCATGCTATTTTTGTTCCTCTGCCAGTTTTGATCCTTTATATTGAGAAGACAGACCAGTTCCCTACCTCCTCCCGCTGCCACCTGCCTCCTCAATTTTGGGGGTAATGCTGTAATCAATTGGTTGTAATTTCAATATAAAATTTACACTGAACAAAATTATAAAAACACAACATGTAAAGTGTTTGTCCCATTTTTCATGACCTGAAATAAAAGATACCAGAAATGTTCCATACGCACAAAAAGCTTATTTCTCTCAAATTTCATGCTCAAATTCATTTACATCCCTGTTAGTGAGCATTTCTCCTTTGCCAAGATAATCCATCCACCTGACAGGTGTGGAATATGAAGAAGCTGATTAACCAGCATGATCATTACACAGGTGCACCTTGTGCTGGGGACAATAAAAGGCCACTAAAATGTGCAGTTGTCACAACACAATGACACAGATGTCAAGTTGAGGGAGTGTGCAATTGGCATAATGAGTGCAGCAATGTCCAACAGAGCTGTTGCCAGATAATTTAATGTTAATTTCTTTACCATAAACCGCCTCCAACATTGTTTTCGAGAATTTGGCAGTACAGCCAACTGGCCTCACAACCGCCGACCACGCGTAACCACCCCCCGCAGGACATCCACATCCGGCTTCTTCACCTGCGGGATTGTCTGAGGGGGAGGGGGAGTGCTGAGGAGTATTTGTGTCTGTAATAAAGCCCTTGTGGGGGAAAACCCATTCTGATTCCCCAGTGGGTGGGCCAATGCCCTCCCAGGCCCACCCATGGCTGTGCCCCTGCCCAGTCATATGAAATCCATAGATTAGGGCCTAATTCATTTATTTCAATTGACGGATTTCCTTCTACGTAAAATCTTTGAAATTGTTGCATGTTGCGTTTACATTTTTGTTCAGTTTAAAACAAATATCCTTTAACATTTTCCATAAATACAGGTATTTTATCAACCAGCACATTTTAGGTCAACCATAATATTTGTTCCATCTTTCGAAGGGGATGAAATTGAAATTCTAAACAGTTCTGCATTGCTTGTTTGAAAAAGAGAATTAACAAGGTTTCATTTTCAATTAAAATCGGCAATCTGCACAAATGCAAAAAGGACATTTTCAAAACAAGGGATGAGCTTTTCTTAGTAATCTACTTGAGAACCATTTTGGGTTCAAGTAAAACCTTTGTATAAGTGAAGCTTTTAGAGAGAGGTTTAGTGCTTTTATATTTAATAATCTCAACCCACCCAGTTCATATTCATTATATAGATAGGCATGCTTTCTCTTGTCTGGTTTAGCATCCCAGATAAAGCGAAATATTTTGCACATATGATTTGAAAAACGAATCAGGAGTAGGCACTGCCATAAGTATGTAAGTAAACTGATATGACTAAAGGAGTTAATCAGTGTAATTTTTCCATAGACAGGCATTTACCTCTCCATGGTTGCAGGATCTAGCCTACTTTTAATAGTTTTCTATTGAAATTAATTGTGGAGAGCTCATTTATATATTTTGCGATATGAATACCAAGTAGGTCTACTTCACCATCAGCCCATTTTATAGGTAAACTGCAGGGTAATGTCAATTTATTATAATTTTTTTAAATCAAATACGTAATATGGTACACTTATAATGAACTTTTCTGGCCTCTGGACGAAAACCTATCCAGATCTTCAATGAGAAATTGCAGGGACCTAGCTTGCGGACTTAATATAAAAACTTGAGACGTCGGCATACATGGACACCTTTGTTTTTAAACCTTGAATTTCTAATCCTCTGTTATTTGATCTGATTTTAATAGCTAGCATTTCGATGGCCATAATGAATAGATACGGTGACAGCGTGTTTTTTTAAATCAAGAGACCTGTTCAAAAGGCAGCAACAACGTAGTTACATACCACACTGCATTTGAGCTCTGCTTAGTGCACGTTCACTTCCTTGTGGAGTCTAGCAAACCCATTTCGATACATCAGAGTTATTTTTCATTTATATACGCGAGCAATAATTAAGGCAACAGGACCCAGGCAAAATAGGCTTGAGTTTAGAGAAGTGAGGTGACACCTCTAAGGTCTCCACTGTGACCGTTGTAAATGGAATCTGTATGATGCGAGCCGAAGCGAGTCGGAACTAGGAAGGTGCGGGTTGTTTCTGTGCAGGGCTCGAGTCTTCACATGTAACCGAGTAATAAGCAAGTGTGTTATGGAGTTGACAGGACCCAGTCAAAACAGAAAATGGGGTCATTCCTGGACAGGGTCCAGAGTCTGACCTTCACAAAGTTGTAGAAGAGGTTGACCCTCTCCTCCAAGGGCTTCTCCAGGTCCTCGCTGAGAGTCAGGTTCTTAGCGTGCGCGCTGATCTCCTCCATCCTGCGCTGCTGGGCCTCCTCAGTCGTTTCCTCCGCCCAGTCTTCGTCATCGTCATCACGGTCCTAGAACATATCGATTAGATTTGAGTTATACAGTGCTATTGAAAATAAGAGGGATCAGTGGAAACTATGCCAATGAGGCTGTATGCTACAGAGAAACAAGAACAAGGGGATAGAATGGAGACTGGGGATGAGTTTCATTCCAGAAAGTTGTCCCACCCTTCTGCTCTTTCACTCCCCTTCACGGCTCTGAGACAATTGGTTAAGTGTAATAAACAGTTCTACCTAGATCATGCCATATTGCTTTTACCTATCCAGTTATATCAGATCTGTGAAGGAGAGTGAACAAGAGGGATGGGAATAGAAAATGTGCCATAACGTCAACAGTTAGGCAACTAGGCCTTTCAAGACAAGTCTCCAGGTCAAGGTCAGTCAAGCTCAACCTTCAAGCCGGTCAAGTTAAATCGAGCGCACCTCCAGTTTACAACAATGTATTTGACCGAGGTCTGGCTGGCACTGGGAGATGAAGTGCTAGTACTCACCACAGCATCGGGGGCGTCTATGTCATTGTGGTTCGCGGCTTCGCCATCACTGGAGCCGTTCTCCTTGTCCTTCTTCTTGCTCTTCTTCTCCTTCTTCTTGGCAGACCCAGTGTCCTCTGTTTGCCGTCGGAGATAAAGGCAGTCAGGACAGACGCCATTATTATACTCATTACGCTCTTTTACAATCTTTTCTCGATTCCTTGTGTTTCTCAAACAGTTACCCAGCAGGAAAAGCAGGGTTCTTTAGTGTCGTAAACTCAATAAACCGAGGTGCCCCTTCGATGATTTCAAAAACCACTGGGAGAGGAGATGCCACAGCAGATGCTGCCCTCAGAATACTGCAAAGCTCACTGCTGTTCATCTTTGACTCATGACAAAAAAAGTGCATTGTGTAAGATTACACCACGCACATTGACACCGTAATACACCACTTAACATGACTCACCTAGTGCCTTTAGAAGTTGCTTTTGTCTAGCAACATAAAATAATTGCTGCATTCATGTGTGCATTAAAATGAAGGCTATAGTGTGTCTGGAGTTGTTTTTAAACCAAGGCCACATTGAACAACCTCAGACTGAACAACCCAGTACAGTATATTCTGAAATTCCCTGACTTTGCAAGAAAACATTAGCATATTAAATGAATGGAATACCCAGAATGTCCATGCTGGAATGCATGTCTGACGAAGCGGTTTTCCAGAAATAAATAAAAGGCTTCTGTCCGGCTGCATTTGAACACATACTTTGCAATTCCCTGCTTTTCTCAGGCATTCCCAGAGAATGCATAAACCGTGTTTGATCCTGGTCTGGCTCACCTGGTGGGTTCCTCAGGATGAACGTGCAGAGCTTGTGTCGCGTGTCCAGCATGCCCCTGTAGCCGCAGGCCTTGCAGGAGTTCCCGATGGTTTGTTTCTTGGCGTTGATGTGCTGGAGGAGTGATGCATAAAAAGAAATTACAAAAATAACAACATTTTCCATATGGCCTTAGGGCTAACTCTTAATTTATACCCTTTGCTGTAGGCAAAGCAGGAACTACAATAAGCTATGCAAAATGGCAATCCTCTGTAGTTGGTAGCAAAAGTAGGCAGACGAGCGCAGCCCCAAAATTCAACAAAAACGCAAGTACGCGGGATCGCCATTTTGAGTAGCTAATTGTGTTCTTGCAGCTATAAAAACACCTGTGACCATAAATTCTGTTAAAATGTCATACCCTAAACATAATGGTGCATCATTACGGGCCAGCTGCACGGACCTAGATTATGCACAGCCCAGGACTAAAAAGTAGACTCAATGGAGTCTTGGCTTAATCTATACGAAACAAAAATATAATAAAACACATGTTAAGTATAGGTCCCATGTTTCATGAGCTGAAAAAGATGCCAGAAATGTTCCATACACCCAAAAAGCTTACTTCTCTCAAATATTGTGCACAAATTTGTTTATTTGTTAGCGAGCATTTCTCCTTTGCCACGACAACCCATCCACCTGACAGGTGTGGCATATCAAGAAGCTGATTAAACTGCATGATCATTATCAGGGCCTAAATTTAAAAACACCCACCACCTGCCAAATCCGGGTAGATTTTGGCAGGTAAGAGTTCTATTTCACCAGCCACGTTGGCGGGTGGTCAGGGCTCCACAGTGCGAGCATTTCACTCATTTGTGAATGAAAATAGTAAAGTACAATCACATTTATAGTAAAATGCTGCAGTAGCTGTTTTCAAAGTATTTCTGTCGTTTTGTTTCATAGCTGGTAAATTAAAAATCGCACAAATAAAAAAAAAACAATGAATCATATATAGCCTATCCCACCTCGCGCTGCAACACTGCCTGGCTGGGGGTTGTGCGCACGTGAAGAGCCGAGTGAAAGATTCATTTTTAGAAGCGCTGCGCACATGCATAAAAGTTAGCCTTATTTACTTGAAACGAAAGTCAGTAACACTACTTAAGTGTCAAAACACGTTATGACGCAGTCATAACACTGTCATGACAAATTGCATTATTTTATGGTTGGTTATGACACCCACAAGGCAAAACATTACACCATAGCCTACTTGTGAACAGTATGTTATAACATTTTCTGAAATTTACCATATTAAATCATTTTAAATTGTGCACAAATTGATGTAAGACATGCACCAACCCTAATGCTCTGTTGCTGATGAATGAAGGAGCAGATTTCAGTGGCCTCAATCATTCTTAAATAGAATAGTTTGGAACCACTAAGACTCTTCCTAAAGCTGCCAATCAGGGGAGAAGGGCCTTGGTCAGGGAGGTGACCAAGAACCCGACGGTCACTGACAGAGAACCAGAGATGGAAGAATCTTCCAGAAGGATAACCATCTCTGCAGCACTCCACCAAATCAGGAAAATATATTGTACAGTGGCCAGACAGAGGCCACTCCTCAGTAAAAGGCACGACAGCCCACTTGGAGTTAGCCAAAAGGCACCTAAAAAGGACTCCGACCATGTGAAACAAGATTCTCTGGTCTGATGAAATCAAGATTTAACGGGACTGGGAGACTAGTCAGGATCGAGGCAAAGATGAACAGAGCAAAGTACAGAGAGATCCTTGATGAAAACCTGCTCCAGAGCGCTCAGGACCTCAGACTGGGGCAAAGGTTCACCTTCCAACGGGACAACGACCCTAAGCACACAGCCAAGACAACACAGGAGTGGCTTCGGGCAAGTCTCTGAATGTCCTCGAGTGGCCCAGCCAGAGCCCGGACTTGAACATCTCTGGAGAGACCTGAAAATAGCTGTGCAGCGACACGCCCCATCCAACCTGACAGAGCTTGAGAGGACCGGCAGAGAAGAACGGGAGAAGTTCCCCAAATACAGGTGTTCCAAGCTTGTAGCGTCATACCCAAGAACACTCAAGGCTGTAATTGCTGCCAAAAGGTGCTTCCACAAAGTACTGAGTAAAGGGTCTGAATACTTTAGAATACTTTTTTTATACATTTGCAGAAATATCTCAAAACCTGTTTTTGCTTTGTCATTATGCGGTATTGTGTGTAGATTGTTTCCCCCACCCCTCATTTTAAATCCATTTTAGAATAATGCTGTAACGTAACAAAATTTGGAAAAAGTCAAGGGGTCTGAATACTTTCCAAATGCACTGTACGTGATAAGCCTGTATGACTGATGATCATACTGCTTCTTGACTGTCAGTATGCTTTCTGCAAGTTATTTAAAATAAGAAAAAACATGACTAAAGCACTAATTACAACAAAGGACTTAAGAGAAACGTTCAAATGAAAGGAAACTTCGCAGGGAAAAAAACACATTTGAATAAAATGTTGATTTTGATACTTATGTAGGCGTCATAACCAGCCATAAAATAATGCAATGTCACAACAGGTGTAAATATATGGGTTAAGACAAGTTGTCAGCTGTTATGACTTAACGTGTTATGACGCTGTTTGACAAAGTGTTAACCGAAAGTCTCCCGAAGTGAGACTTTGTCCTTGTGTTTCTTGGCTATTTACATTGTTTTGTTCACAAGCTAGGTTGTTTTGCGATGTTTGAGTTTCAACGGCTAGGGAGAAGACAACACTTCTATTAATCAGACTCAATATCACAGGCACAAACATAACAAGTCGCAATACCACGGTAACCTCAGGCACTTAAAGGGGCAGGTGAACATTTGTCTCAAATGTTATGGTTCAAAGACTCAGGTCACAAAAAAATAAATACTACATTACTTCTTACTAGTAATACACTATATGACCAGAAGTATGTGGACACCTGCCTTCGAACAGGTCATTCCAAAATAATGGGCATTAATATGGAGTTGGTCCCCCCTTTGCTGCCATAACAGCCTCCACTCTTCTGGGAAGACTTTCCACTAGATGTTGGAACATTGCTGTGGGCACTTGCTTAAATTCAGCCACAGGAGCATTAGTGAGGTCGGGCACTGATGTTGGGCGATAGGCCTGGCTCGCAGTCGGCGTTCCATATCATCCCAAAGGTATCCGATGGGGTTGAAGTCAGGGCTCTGTGCAGGCATGTCAAATACTTCCACACTGATCGACAAACCATGAATGTTAGCTGGCTAGCTACATGAAAACATCTAATTAGGGTCACCTGGAAACACTGACAAACACTTTAGTTCCTACCCTGGCAATAATTCCTCCCTGGTTTATTATTTTGTTGTCATGTCAAACAATGTATTCAAGGTGCTGCCCACTATATTCCAACTACAGAATTAGAATAATTATTATATTTCCAACAGTTCAATTAACTAGGCCTATATTTTTTTGCCCATATGCTGTGCGGCACAGTGTGCACATGATAATGAAAGCGCAGGAAATGCACAAAAGTATGAACATTATTATAATTTTTTAGGGGGGGGATTAAACAGTATAAATCAGGGGTGTCAAACATTCTAATCAGGGCCTAGTGTCTGTGTGGTTTTGTTATTTTCCTTTCAATTAAGACAACCAGGTGAGGGAAGTTCTTTACTAATTAGTGACCTTAATTCAGCAATCAAGTACAAGGGAGGAGTGAAAACGCGCAGACACTCTGCGGAATGAGTTTGACACGTGGTATAACTGGAGAAAGCCCCATTGAAATCACTTAATTTATGTGGTGCCACCCTAGGGTCATGAACCAAATCAAAGCATATTTAGAACTTGTATTATAAAAATACAGCCAAATAGTCATAAATATCATATGATATTTTGTCCATATCGCCCAGCCCTATTAGTGGGTATTATGGTTGTGGAAGACATATTTAGCCTAGGTAGGCTATAACTTCACAAGCCTTGAATTCATTAGATTGCTGACTGTTAGAAATGCAGTGTATTTGACCTTTGAATGTTCTCTAAATAAGCTTTGTTGTAAAATTGTAAATCAAGATATCGTAAACTGCCCACAAGTTTAAAAAAATATATATTTTATTTGGCCATATCGTCCAGCCCTACCTCTAACCCTGGCAATTTGACTGGTAAACTCATGGGCACACTCGCAATGGCTGCCTGGTATTGCGATGCAATAATGTCCACGGTAATGTAAAATCTTCATTGAAATGATGTTAACCTCTACGGGATCGGTGTCCCGTATACGGGACGGTTGAGCTAAGGTGCGCTAATGTGATTACCATGACTGTTGTAACAGCAAACTTTACAGGACATAGACATGTTTTATATGGGCAGAAAGCTTAAATTATTGTTAATCTAACTGCGCTGTCCAATTTACAGTAGCCATTACAGTGAAAAAAATACCATGCTATCGTTTGAGGAGAGTGCACAACAACAAAAAACATATCACGGCAACTGTTTGATACATTCACCTCTGAAGGTAAATAATGTACTTACATTCAGTAATCTTGATCTGATTTGTCATCCTAAGGGTCCCAGAGATAAAATGTAGTATAGTTTTGTTTGATAAAATCCATTTTTATATTCAAAATGTAGGAACTGGGTTCTACAGTTTGAACCTCTGCTGTCTCTGGCTCCACACCCACCCCGCCTGGCTCTCTAGATGAGTAAAAGTTAGTGTGTAAGCTAATGATCCATCATGCATGACATTCTTGGGAGTGTGTAAACGTACATTTTGTATTACCATATCATTTTTGTATGTTCTCTATAGTAATGTAGTTGAAAATGTATCAATTTGGCACATTTGGCCAGACTTGATACAAAATAGTCCAGTATTGCAATGCTTCACTGGATCAATCTGAAAACACTGCTGCCATCAGGTAGCCAAAATCTAAATTGCGCCTAAACTGCAATATGTTGTGGCCTTTCTCTTCCATTTCAAAGATGATAAAACAAAACAAAAATAACACATGTTTTTTTTGTTTGTATTATCTTTTACCAGATCTAGTGTGTTATATTCTCCTAAATTAATTTCACATTTCCACAAACTTCAAAGTGTTTCCTTTCAAATGGTATCAAGAATATGCATATCCTTGCTTCAGGTTCTGAGCTACAGGCAGGTCGATTTTGGTATGTCATGCTATGCAAAAATTGAAACAAAGGGTCCGATCCTTAAGAGGTTAACTGCTGTGGCCCACGCAATGGAATGTATATTTTGTAATGTCAGTTGAATCAACAAATATTGATGGGTACACTTTCTGCTTTGCCCTTATGGGTGGCAGGTAGCTTAGTGGTTAAGAGTGTTGTGCCAGTAACCGAAAGGTCGCTGGTTCTAATCCCTGAGCCAACTAGGTGAAAAATCTGTCGATGTGCCCTTGAGCAAGGCACTTAACCCTAATTGCTCCTGTAAGTCGCTCTGGATAAGAGCGTCTGCTAAATGACTAAAATGTAAATGTAATGGGTACACTGGCAATGGCCACCAGTCCACCAATTATGCCATCATTGACTTGAATGTAGATGCCCGTTCTATTTCTATAGCAGCACATGCAGTCAGGAGCGAGGAAACAGAAATTTCCCCATCTAAATGTTGTATTTATTCCCCCCCTGAAAAGGTTATTATTACGGAGCACACGGTCATTTGGCTGGCCAATTACCATCATCCAAATTCAATGACAGTCACAGCCCTACATTCTATTTCTACTCAGCTCTTTGACTACTTCAATAATGACATAACACCTAACACAGTTTGGGCCGGACCCAGTTAACCTATGAAAGCTCTGGAATGAGTCACTGTGCACATTTAATTCCATCCAGTAAATTGTAACGGCACTGCCGTTCCATCGGAAAGCAGCCCAGCATCGACTCGTGTTGCGGGCCCTGCATAGATATGCATCGGCACAAAACAGAATCCCCCCGGCTGCAAGGACCGGCGACAGTGCTGACCTTATTAGAATAGAAACCTGCCCTGTCAGCGAAAACACGGCACAAACAGAGGGGTGGGTTCACGCCTCCCTCACTGTACAGACACCACAGGCTAACAGGCCAGAGGATGCCAAGCCCTGCAGACAAGGCTGTTTGGATGAAAAACAAAGCAAATTCCCAATGGAAGCACCATCATGTGACCCTGCTGCTGCAAACAGTGGATTTATTATTTAAAAGGGTGGCAGACCGGTCGGTCCTGGTTGGATATAGGAAATGAGTACTGTCACAAGGCAAAATGGATTGATAGTGAAGAGCTGGCATTCCCACCCTTTTCATTCGATAGCAGCGGGTGGGTCAGTTTTCAATGAGACCTTTCCCATAATCTGACAAATTGTGGACAGGAGGAAAGGAAAAGCTTTCCGGACTATTTACCAGGTCGGTTTCGGGATTTTCGCACTCTGGACACAGCACAAACTTCCGGATGAATCCGTCCAGCATGTCCTGCAGCTTGTTCGCCTCGTGGGACCCATTGACAATGAAGCGGTCGTTTTTGGCATCAAACTGGGTCTGGGCACCCAACTCACAGCCAAAAAATTTGGTGGGATCTGGACAGGGAGAACGAGAAAGACATACGTTTTTGAGTTTAGCTTTGTCCAAAGCCTTCCTATCCTCATCATCATCATAGGTTTGGGAGAGTGGGTTATTAAATATTCATAGCTAATAGGCTCTTCCCCTTTCTTTTACTAAATATAAAAGGGGGCGGACCACCACATCAACATGATTCCTCCTCCCATGGCATCAGTGTTGTAGATCAGGCTATATGCCACAATCCAAAATGAATGCAAAAGATACGCACCATATAATTTAGTTTCGATTCACTTTGGGTTGAGGCATATAGCCCAATCTACACAACCGATGTGGACTCATCTTGTCAGACTATTGAAAACATCCAACAAACTTTGATTTTGGAGTGTGAAGTCCCCTTTCAACCCATCTTTACAGATGACTGGCCACAATGGAGAGGCCAGAGAAAGTGTGCAATTTACAAGTACAGACAAATATTCCAAACTGTTTACAATCACAACCTTGTGAAATGGATGCCAATCTAGTGGGTCAGACCAGTGCCCAAAAGGCACTTAGCTGAGGAAGGAGGTATACTCACACGTGGGAGGCCTATTCAGAGACTTGGCAACGTCGGTCATGTTGACTATGACAGTCTTTATCCCATTCCCCTTGCCTTCCACCTGGAGGATGGGACGGGTGGGGGAAACAGGCTTGATTCACATTGGTCACATTCTAACAGCGTAAATACCTTTCCACTAGAGGCGGCAATTAAGATGCTCCTCACATGTGAGCCGAGCGCACAAAGGCAGAGGGGGTTCACTTACATTTAAGTACAACATTTGAGAAAAATCACATTAAATCTAAACTACTTTGAGTGGAAAGTATGTCTTGTAAAGGCTGTCTTTCAGAGGGAACATGTATTTCAGTGTTGTTTAAAGAACAAGTTTCCCCTCAGGCTATACGTGGCCTTCTTCCCTTACCGCGAGCAATTAAATGGATTGGTTAGGTCTCCACCATATTTATTTCAACGCATTTCAGTGCTCAAGGAGGAAGAGAGACAAGGGAATAAAGCTCTATGACCATTGGGACATCTCTAGGTCCCTGGACTAGTTGAGCTCTGGATACTGACCAACCCCTCATGACAACCACCACACTGTTCAATGTAAAAGTTTCCCATAACCTGAGATCTAGATTCAGATCCTGACCCCCAAATCCTAAAACATGACGGGGATGACAAACAGTGACTCCAGACCACCACGACCCGTACTCACCTTGGCGATTATACGGGGCATCTTGTAGCGGTAGAACTGGTCCAACACGCTGCGGTTGACGTTAACGGACATGATGGCTGGCCGCGAGCTTTATCAGTACGATAGGAAGATCTTGGACTGCAAATTTTTGGTATCCTCTGTCTGGCGAAGAGGGGATGACATAAACGACTGGAAGAGGGTTCGGGCTCGGACATGAAAAAGGTCTTGCCACTGAGGCTGCAAGCTCCGCGCTTGTAGGCTAAGTTCCCCGCACACAGGTTCCAACAGCTGCGCAACAGCTCTGTGAAGAGAGGGGAAGACTGTGTTGATCAATGGAAGACATTACAGCAAATAATTAATAAGTTAGTATAAAGTATGATTGGGCATTACTTTCTAGTGTCAGACTGGCACAAGACACAAGTCCCTATTGGCTTTCCACCTTTGCACACAGCCATTTAGCAGTAACACCTGCTAAATGGCACAGCCCATATATTTATATTTTGGTTCTTTCCCATCATACTGGATATTACTGAAGGAGTCACTACTTAATTTCTCAACTTGAGAAGTATGAATAGGCCTACTTGTCCAAGCAGGCCAATTATCATTAAAGTTCCTTGGCAGGTTGGCAGTCACCACAATGTACAATATCAAATTTGCAGAGGAATAACTAGTAGACAAACAGTGGTGTAATATGGTTAGATATGCCATTGCGGCTTCCTACCTATGTAACAATAAACATATGGCAAATGCACACGAGAAAAAACTATTCCACAAACATGGCATTTAAATAATCATAAAGCATAGTGGAATATATTACATTTCAAGACAATCAGCACATGTTAATTGCACCATTGGTACGAAAACATTAATTGCCAATACAGTTAAGAACACATAACTATAAATCATCGCACATGTAACACAGGTGAGAATGGGGTTAGACAGAAAAGCACACCAGCCCTCAATTGAGCAATGTTCTGCAGAGTGCGTCATATAGTGAAGCAATGCGCGAGGGGAGAAAGACGCCATCTTGGTCCACATAGGAGGCGCATTCCCTATACAAACAGGTTTGAAATCAATTAAATACGCACTGACACAGAGCAGTAGGGATTAAAGTATAATTGAGGTTAAAATACCTTTCCCATCCGTCGCTCCTTTCGTCCGGATACTCACCGTTTTCGCAAAACAAAGACATAAACACACCGCTGGTCGCCCAGACAGAGACGCAATAAAGTGTTGTGTGGATGAGCAGTAAGGTTGCAGTAAAGTGGAGACCGAGCGGCACTAGAGTCCGCAGAGAAAACTCGAGACACCCAAAAATGGGGTATCTGTAACGAACCACAATCAAATCAGCATAACATGACACGTGTCAGCTTGCGCTATCTGTGCTGTGGTAATAATAGCTAACGTTAACATCGACACATTAGCCAACGACTATGCATAGAAAAGCTGGCTATAGTATTAGCTACCTAAAAAGGGATACAAGTTGATCTGCTCTGTTACGTTTGAATATTTGCTGATTAATACGTGTATAATAACAATTGGTCATCTAGACAGCGAACTTGATCTTCAAACTTGCTTGGACTCACCTCCAGGACGTTCTCACATAGGTGCTTGCAACGCCACTATAATGTGCTGTCAATCTACACGAGGTCCGCCACTATTCCCGCCCATTCTGGTGGCGTCATCAAATCAGCGACCTATAGCGGCATTAAGCGAAATCTTGATCAAAACAAGTATGGGCAAAGATATTTATAACTAACCCGAGATAGTTAATAGTGGCCAGGCAAAACAAGCAAGGGAGGTAAAGCCCGAGCTTGGGAGATCCTATCTGGGTGTTGTAACATATTTCCATTAGGGAACGACTCCTCTGTGAATTGCGCGTGTGCACAAACTCAATTCAAACTTGCACTCCTAAACAACGCAATTTTTTTAAACTTTGGCAAAGCGTCAAGTCTATACAACTTAGTGCACTGTGTTCGTAACAGATTCTAGTTTTGGCAACAGAAACATTTATTGGGACCAGATGTTTCATTAATGAGAATATTTGCAGAATGTTAGCCCAGTTTCACCTAGTTCCATCCTCTCCCACTACCTGCAACTGGACTATGGTAGTGAGAAAACGTTCTAAAATGACCACGGGAGAGAGAGAGATCTGTAGACTGTTGCTTCTCTGTATTCTGATCTTGGGCTTCTCACGTGGGACCATCACATGAGAGTCATGACACTATCCTTGATAGCATATGTGTGAAATAGAATGCCTTCAGTTTAGGGTTAACATGAGCACATAACTTCACATCAAAATCATGTTTTAGGCAAAATCCACAATGCAACTAGTTTGGCATATGAAGGGAGTGGCGAGTGGCGCAATGGTCTAAGGCTCTCTAGCTGTGCCACTAGAGATCCTGGTTCGAATCCAGGCTCTGTCGTAGCCGGCCGTGACCGGGAGACCCATGGGGTGGCGCACAATTGGCCCAGGGTCGTCCAGGGTAGGGTAGGGAATGGACGTTCTCACATAGGTGCTTGCAACGCCACTATAATGTGCTGTCAATCTACACGAGGTCCGCCACTATTCCCGCCCATTCTGCTGGCGTCATCAAATCAGCGACCTTTAGCGGCATTAAGCGACATCTTGGTAATTTCCTATTTGATTGTAAAACTCACATTGTTTCTGTACCTACCTCATTGCCATTCAGTGGCAGTCAGTGGCGTTTATTATGAGGGAGGACAATCTTTTTTTCATGAGCATGGCCATATTTCTATTACAGCATATTGGATGACTGTCATTCATATTCCATTCACCCAGTTCGATGTAACATCGATAGGTTTAGGATACTACGTAATACTCTAATTTTCCCTATACCCATCATGAGGTTGTTACAACCTAGCCTATGAATGATAGTTTACAACGTAGCTGCAAACAGGTCGAGAGAAAATGTTGAGGTGACAGACAGTGACACATTCAATACCGCCTCGCACACTCTTGCCTGCATCTAGCGGATCTAGGGTGTAATCATTAGTCAAACAGTTGCAAATTAGAGTTTCTATTGGACAAATTCAGGTATGTCTATCCCCGTTTCGTTCCGTTCACTTCCGTTTAATAAAAGTTTTTCAACAGAATCGACGGAATGAATACACACCTGATCACTCGTAAGCACAGAAACAACTTTTCGTCATACCACGCATGGGAGGCACTCTGTGCTTTAGTGACCTCCTCCAAGCTGGCACATTTACACTCCTCCAGCTTCATAAAATGACTAGCATTTCTGACACTGCATGTTGATGCTGTGTTCACAATGAGGCTGCTGTAGCTTTGTGACTGCTGCTGGAACTTGATGACTGTTTGGTTTAGCTTTAATGCACTTGTGCAGAAGGCTCCCCACTGGAACATTGGTCCCTTCCAAACTATTCTTAAGTGCGTTGTCGGAGTGGTACGCAGGAGTTGGAGGTAGAGATGGAGAAGCGGCCGGGGTGCTGTCAGAGAAATTCTGCTGCATCCCTGAGTTCCACTGGCATTGCTCTTCTGTACAGGACACCGCTGTCAATCCTCCATACACAGCATTCTGCACCTTCAACAAAAACTACTGTACAGAACACTAGTTTACATGGTGTTTACAGTTGACTAGTTTACACAGTTCCCTTTTAACTAGTAGGTTTAGGTTATGTTGGTAATTTCCTATTTGATTGTAAAACTCACCTTGATTCTGTACCTACCTCATTGCCATTCAGTGGCAGTCAGTGGCGTTTATTATGAGGGAGGACAATCTTTTTTTCATGAGCATGGTCATATTTATATTACAGCATATTGGATGACTGTCATTCATATTCCATTCACCCAGTTCGATGTAACATCAATAGGTTTAGGATACTACGTGATACTCTAATTTTCCCTATACCCATCATGAGGTTGTTACAACCTAGCCTATGAATGAAAGTTTAAAACGTAGCTGCAAACAGGTCGAGAGAAAATGTTGAGGTGACAGACAGTGACACATGGACAGACATTGACACATTCAATACCGCCTTGCACACTCTTGCCTGCATCTAGCGGATCTAGGGTGTAATCATTAGTCCAACAGTTGCAAATGAGAGTTTCTATTGGACAAATTCAGGTATGTCTATCCCCGTTTCGTTCCGTTCACTTCCGTTTAATAAACGTTTTTCAACAGAATCGGCGGAATGAATACACACCTGATCACTCGTAAGCACAGAAAAAACTTTTCAGCTACACACAGCCTACATCGTTGTCACCATATTAGCTAAAGCAACATCCTAATCAACATAGCTAATAGAGCTAATGCGTTAGTAAACTCGCTACACCATGCAGTAACCGTACAGTCACTAAGCAGTTCAGCGTTTACACCGGTGTGCCCCGGTCGAAATAAATTAATACAACCAAAAGCTTACCTTGACTTGGAAGAGTTCCAGTGTTGTGTTGGATAGTCATAGCCATCTAGCTAACATAGCATCCCTCTGTTTGAGCAGGGTGTTTGAGTAGGCTAAACTAGCTAGGCGCATTTGCTAGCTAAGTAAGTGAAACTGAAAGTAAAAATAAAATAAAAAAATCTCTCTCTCTCTTGCTTCTCCTTCATTTTTGAAGAAATTAATTTGTTCAAAACAGTTCAACTATTGTTTTTCTCTCTCTTTGAGTCAGCTACTCACCACATTTTATGCACTGCACTGCAGTGCTAGCTAGCTGTAGTTTATGCTTTCAGTACTAGATTCATTCTCTGATCCTTTGATTGGGTGGACAACATGTCAGTTCATGCTGCAAGAGCTCTTATAGGTTGGAGGACGTCCTCTGGAAGTTGTCATAATTACTGTGTAAGTCTATGGAAGGGGGTGAGAACCAAGAGCCTCCTAGGTTTTGTATTGAAGTCAATGTACCAAGAGGAGGACGGAAGCTAGCCGTCCTCCGGCTACACCATGGTGTTACCCTACAGATTACTGTTGAGGCTACTGTAGACCTTAATTGCAAAACAGTGTGTTGTAATCAATTATTTGGCGACGTGAATATATTTAGTATAGTTTTTTCTAAAAAGGATATATTTTCAAATGTTTTACAATTTTATGAGTCCGGCCTCCACTGCCGGACT